CCGGGGAAAACGAAAAAAAAAAAAAAGCTAATATTTTTTCTAAGAAAAAAAAGTTAGTTTGTTAGGTTTACATTAATTAAATATCATTTAAGTCATTAAATTTTAAAATTAAAAAGAAAAACAAACTATTTTGTCTTTTCCACCACTTTATGCATCTGAAGTCAAAGTCAAGTTGTTCGTTTTAAGACATAATGTGAGATTGAACTTTCGCTCCCAGGGAAAGAGGTTGGAACAATATATTCAATATATTTTAACTATGAGCTTAGCTCGTGTTGATGTCAAATCAAATTATATTCATTTTAAAATAATTAACTACTAAAATAGTAGTGCATGAACTGAAATTATCAATTTTTGGATTAAATGATAAAATCTTTTTTTAGTACAAACACTATAAACTTTCAATATTAAGTCCAGTAAGTTCCTAATTTGTAAAAACATTTAATGAATCTTGAAACTTTTACTTTTATGTCTAATAGATATTTAATTTACAAAATTTTTTTTAAAGTTCATGATGTATTGAATTCAAAATTAAAAGTCTTCCGCAATCGAAAACTTTTAAGACCTAATAGTTTATAAACATGTTTAGACATTTATTAGATAAAAGACCAAATTTGTAATTGATTTATTTTTTAAAAAAATTGAAAGACATAATTAATTTGAAATGTTAGATAGAAATAGCATATGGTATTACAAAAATATACATTGTTAAGCGTGCCATCAGAGGAAAATAAGGAAAAAGAAAATAAAAGTGAAGGTGCTGAAATTTTCGTGCGTGGGCCAAATATCCTAATCAACAACCCTCTCTACTCTGCTTTGTGGTAACACATGCATCATAAAAGCACTCGGAATAAAGTGGACCACCAAAACAAAACAAAACCAAATCAAATCAAATTATTCAAATCATCAATGTTTACAAGCAGTGACCTTCTTAATTACTCAAACGACTTCCATTAATCATGATAAATAAGCTTCCTCAGCAAACACAGTTCTATTAATTTCCACTATATTGCTGAGTATTTAAGCCAGAATCATACAGAATAAAGATGTTGGCAATAATTGACAACAGGTCTCAAAATCAATCCAGTTTTAGTCAAAATAACAGACACAGATCCAAAATGGGACACAAATTAAAAGACAAGACACGAAAACATGCTTAAAACTAAAAGTAAAGTGAAAAA